ATCAGCCCTAATGGGTTGGTGTCTGACGAAATCTCAGCACGGATTCGAAAAGCTCGTTTGGCTTTTGCCAACTTACGTCACCTTTGGCGGAGGCGAGATATCCGTCTATCAATAAAAGGACGAGTATACTGCGCGGCAGTCCGTTCTGTTTTAATTTACGGCAGCGAAACATGGCCATTAAGAGTAGAAGACACCCGTAAGCTACAAGTATTTGACCACAGATGCCTTAGAAATATTGCTGGCATCTGCTGGGATCACCGGGTAAGTAATAGTGAGGTTAGACGCAGGGTATTAGGGAATGATGGTAAATCAGTTGATGAGGTTATGAATCTTCATCGACTGAGATGGTTGGGCCACGTATTACGTATGCCTGAACACCGATTACCACGACGTGCAATGCTAACCGGTGTAGGGGATGGTTGGAAGAAAGTTAGGGGCGGCCAAACCAAAACGTGGCATCAGTGCTTGGAGACACTAACTTCTAGTCTTAGCCATGTTGGTAGATGCAGACTACTTGGTTGGGGTCCGCGTGACTTTCGTAACCAATGGTTGGAGACTCTTGGTGACATGGCCCAGAATCGATCACAATGGCGTCGGTGTATACACTCCCTGTCTTCCCTTAAACTAAGAGATTAAAATCACTTCATACCTTTCTTTCTACGAACTAATTCTTCCTTCCTATACTATATCCTTATTGCAACCTTTGACCTAACCACTCCTATGAATCCGGTGTTCATCTTGTTGTGCTAATGAGGTATGGCAACCTGGACCGATGCACATATGTGCCTGGTCCTACGTTGTAGCTGACTGACTGACTGACGTGCTTTTCAGTTTATTACACTCTTTAGTTCTAAATGGTACTAAATCATTAGCTCAATTTATGATTAACTTGCTAACTCCACATTACCTCTCGAAATTATCCGCAAAACCAAATAACGTGGTTCAACGAATGCGGGATCAGGTATGACATAAACATAAAAAATGCACTAAATTGAGCTCAAAGGCAACTTTTTAAATCCTGCTTTGCTCCAACCTTTCCGTTTGTTTTGATCTGGTCATTAGATTTTATCTATCACCTTGATTCTCTTTGTTGTTCTGTGTTTACCGGATGAGAAATCCATTCGTAATTCCCATCCTTGATTTATTTTTACCACTAGACGGATTTTTACTTAATCTCTTTATAATTATTGTTGTAATGTTTCATTCATTCTTACGATCCAATACTAATCCCATTTTGATTAACTATGTGTGAAGGTATTGTGAATATGTTGTAGAGCTCTAGCGAATATTATTTTCAACTAATTGCCTTCACCTCTTTCAAAATCACATGACGTCACCTTCGTAGCAAAACTGGTTTACAGGATTTTGCGGGAACTAGTAGATTTCAATTGTTCAGCCGTTCGGTCACATTGTTTTCTAACGTGAACTTAACGGTTTGATGAGCGGTTTAAATGTTTGTTCTCACAACGAACACTCACCCAAATCATGCAGACTTAATCAGTTGGTAAAGTGTCCGTAGGTATGGGATGTGCTTTCCACCTAAGTGTAGAGCACTTTTACAAGACTAGCAGGACCCTGTGCCTGCTCTCACTTTGAGTAGTAGTCGGGGAGTTCGCTTATCTGGGTAGCCGTGTAAGTGTGCATAGTGGTATGAGTGATGAAATCAATTCACGTATAGTGAAAGCCATAGCGGCTTATGCCGATTTGGGCCATCTTTGGTGCCTTCGTGATGTTGGTCTGGCTGTAAAAGGTCGAATGTACAAGCGCGTCGGTGAGGTAGTTTTGCTCTGCTCTTGCGAATACTGGCCTCCGAGTTGAGGATGTTAGATGACTCTCCGTGTTTGATCACTATTGTCTCCAAAGGATTGTTGACATCCAGTGACGACACCATGTTAGTAATGCAGAGGTTCGACAACGTGTGATTGAGCACAGTGACGATAATTCAATTAGTGTCGCCATCTTGAAACATCGGTCTCGGTGGCTTGGGCATATCCTACAGATGTCATCTCAGTAAACTCCACACCGTGTGTTATTTGACGCACTGGGACTGGTTGGAAGAGGTGGTGAGTGCACGACATGGTGTCGTGGTGTGGAAGAAAGCTGTACGAGACTGTCGGTCCTTCACAACTTTCCGGTTGAGCTCCTAGAAATGACGCGACACAGCAGCTTGAAACATCGGAAGTAGCTGAGAAAAGTCAATGGCGATCCCGCTGTAACTTTTTTAATGTCTATAAAAATAAACGCAGCCTTAACTGAGAGGATTCTTTCTGGTTGTATTTTTCCTAGTTTATCTGCTTCTGTTCATTACTGCCCTTCTTTGTCATTATACTGTTTCTATTATCTATCTCTTCATAACCTCATATTTATTGTGTGGCGCACATGAACTGCTACTCATTTTAAATTTCTCACTCTTATACACTAACTTATCTCATTGCCATTTTCTTTTGTAGTATACTCACCTTCCATTCTTTATCTCTTCACAACCTCATTTTTATTGTGTGGCACATATACATTTTGATGCGGTAACTTGAACTGATGTACGTATGTACTGTTTTTGTTCAGATAAATTAGTTAGAAAAAGTAGGCAGGAAACCCTTGTCCCTGTTGGTTGCAGAATTAGTTGGTTTCAAAAACAATGCGTATAAAGCAAAAAGCGACAGCGCAGTCGTGACATTTTCCTCAAAACCTATATAAATCGTACTGATGAACGGGACGTTTTTGTTACCAAGTATGTGCATAGTGCGTCTCCACAGTGAAGTTAAGCACCAATAGTCCTCATGTTTCTGCTTGGTAATATTTCTTGTTTCGTTGGTGTTACGGTTATCATTCCTGTAAAACTTATGGTATCATTTTTACGTGTCCCAAACTTGTTTATGCATATTAGCCGTCTGGGATACTTTCTGTTGATACAGTTCTGATTACTCACAGTTAGTCTGTTTACTACTGGATATTGTTTGTTCAGCGATTTAATGCTTAAAGTTTGAATTAATGTGAATCATTTTGTCTACGAAATGTTCAGGATCCTGGTAAAAGTATTCAAATGAGGTGGCGAAAACGCGATTGGCCTGAGAACCACTACAGCTCATTGACTTTGGAAATGAATGCTTTTGAAGGCGGAACGCGCCTTTTTTTAGCACAAAAAAATGTTCCTGCCTATGACTTGGAAAATACCCGCGATGGATGGCTCACTATTTTCCTTGCTGCACTGAAACAAACTTACGGATATGGTGGACGTATGTTTTAAGAGCTTTACCAAAATGACTTCAAAAACGGGATGTCTTCTATGTAATAATGATAACATCTGCTTTTACATTGTAAGCGGTTAACAGCCTAATATAATATTTTGTGATATTTTCCCTTCTATTTTTGTTAATGAATCTAGCAAATTGTTATTTGTCAAGCAGAATTACAGAACCTCTTTTGATCGTGCATTTCTCAAGCTAGTTATCCACTTAAGCCACACTCCCAAACCATTCTTCTAAAAAGGGAAAGTAACAGACTGTCAGCAAAAAACATCCAAGGTTTGACAGTAACCGTACCATGTAGGATGATGTCATATTATTAAATGACTTCAGTTATGCACCTAATAAATGATAGAATTTTCAAGACTGTTCCCTAATGATAAAGAAAGCTCAAGAATCTTATTAGAAATAAAATAGGCTAAGGATATTTCTTTCATTTACTCATACCACAGGGTTCACGCTTATGCTAACTCCGCATAAAAGCGGCAAAACTGTCGACAATCTTCGTGATGTACTGACTGTTGTATTCACGGTTTATTTTGTATGGCGTCATTCTTTAACTTACGAGGACTCTTTGGTCATCTCTGCCATGTGTGGGGCAGGCCTAATCTTGGTTCATATCCATACTATAATTTGTCATTGCAATATGATCTCCCACATTCAAAGTTGATAAAGCTCTTTCATGCATAATAACAATTGATATAAGTAACTTCCTGAAATATGTACTATTAATAATCTATAGGAAACCTATCACCCGATGACTGCATAACTCACCACATTGCTTTATAAACAATCGTGATTTTAATGACTGGCACTGGCTTAGGTTTCAAAGGTGGTTCAGTAACTGTCTAACCTTAAGGAGAACTTCTTTGTTGGAATTCATTAGCTTGAAAACTGCGCAGGTGCATTTGCCTTCCATAAGAACCGTAAAACTGTGGGACTTCCTTGAAGAGATGAAGATACATGTAGATTGCGGGTGACCGATTACTTTCGTTTCTAGTGTTCTTGAATCATTAGACGAGGAATACTACACACTTTTCGCTTAAAAAGAATTAAGCTACAAGTCTACACTGACTGAATATCAAGCCACTACTACCACGACATGCAATTCAAAATCATTGTGAAGTTAAGGATGGACAAACCACCAGTGTGCTAAATGAGAACTGAGGACATTATAGTACAAATTAGTGGTTAGAGACCAAGCAATATAACAGGAATGAGCACAAGCACACAATGTGTTTGTATCGCATGTGGAATGCTCGGTTGAATCCACATTTTGCATGGTTTAACTAGAGTCTCTACCTTGTTTTAGGCTGGTCGCCTTACTGTGGTGTCCATTTTCCAAATCCTGATAACGATTTAGGGAAATGTTTGCCAGCATTACTTTTCAGCATAAAGACCTAGGGAGTTCGATCTTAAGTAAATTTCGAAACCTCAAACAAGGTTTGTCTGCTAGTCCGCTTTAAAAATAAACTTAGATGACTTCCCTGCAGTCTGAATGAAATTCTCTCTGACGAAGAATTTTACATTAGTTTTGTTCCAGGTATATTAAATTGACCAGAGTCTTGTAGAATAGACCTCAACCTTTTGCAGGTGTTTTTAGGATTTGGTGACCTATGCTCGCTAGCGTCTCTCTTAATGTCTAAATAACCATTATAGTTATATTTAAGGCTAGTTAGAAACTGGATTGTTCGGACTATAAACAATCAAACTTTGGTGATCTATTTCAAAATGTCCAGCCCAATATACACGATAAAAGACCGTTGAAGTGCCCACAGAACCGTTTAATGGATTTGTAAAAAAATTTCATTGTTGGTTCATTGCGTGAAGACATAAGAAGCTTTTTGTTAATGGAGAAAATTAGTTGACGACTTTATACTATATCTAGCGATTGAAAAAGCTACTTGATCTTATCTCAAAAAGACTACTGATTAGGTACACAGGGAATCATATGTATAGAGTAGTAAATAACAGATGTGATGCATAATGCAAAAGCTGGTAGCTTCCTTATTGTAAGTGGTACTAGTTTGGAACAGCGTCTACCGCGTCAGGAAGTCTATAGTGTCGCCATTCTTGTTTTTGACGGTTAGCTGCAATAGCACTGTCAACAACAGCATCCATCATGCCTTCTGTCAAAACACCGTCTTCGCTGGAATATGCAGCTGTCTGTTACGGTTGAAACAGAAATAAGGAAGAAACATACAAAATATTAAACAATCGAGAGAGTTAAAGATAGATGGTCATTTTAGCTCATTTGTTAAATTAAACCAATACTTATGAAAGCGGACTTTATTAATCAATAAAGTTGAGGGGAATTTGCAAGACTGATCAGGTAAGAAGTTTTCTAAATTCAACAAACACTAGTGTTGTTAGTTATTTTTAGACCTCACTTTGAAAAAATTAGTGACAATTTGAGGACCAATAGTTATTTTAAACAGTGTTTGGCGCGCACTGACCTGAACCAGAATGAAACGTGATTACAATATTGTGTAGATTAGTAACGGAAATAATGGTAATAAATGAAGCAGACAACATAAGCACAGGGCCAAAAAGATTTTACTTCTCTGAAGTATTGATTATATTTCGAAAAGGAAATTATTGCGACAGGAACGGCACTTACGTTAGAAGTCATAATACATATATGCACTCCGAGTCACTACAACCTTTATACTTTGCTATTAAATGTTTGAGTAATGGTTGTGACGATACCTGTAAACCGCGTTCAACCAGCCAATTACTGTGTGAAACCTCAATAAAATGATGATACGGATTAAGTCCAAGCAGGTGTAACATTGCATAGTGTAGGCAATTAATGCAACAAATACTGAAACGACAACAGTAAACGCACAAAGTTATCGAAAGTCTGGTTTACAGAACTAGGTTTTAACAAGTGCTGATCCTTCATGTACGTAATACAATGGCAAAAGAGCAGTTCAACCTAGATTGACCTTATCCCATATTATCCTCATCAGCACTCGCACAAACATATAGAGGTTCTCGTAACTTTTCAAAGATGCTTAAGTGTCGTTTACCATTAACGTAAACCACCTTTTGTTTAATTCATATTAAGATGACAAAAGTTGTAAGTCGAAATGACTTGGGAATTTACTTAATGTTACACTGAGCGAAAGATTTACGCAAGTATACTTAATCAGGAGTTGGGTGATTTGAGGCAGCAAACTAATATTAGTTTGATGTTCTAGCAATCGGTATACCAGACTTGTTCCGTTTCCATACATCACGGAAGCCGAGATAAATACTGGTAATGTGTTATCTAATAGTGCATACGTTACTTTCAAAGCTTTAGCACGTTTCGAAATTTTTAATAGTTCAGAAGCAACCCTGAATATCTTAAAATGTTTCTTTTTCCATTTGAACAATCGTTTACGTGGATTCTGGTATATCACTTAATTTTTTGTAGGATGGGAATACGACCACATTAGCATTCACGTCTATGAATTGACAACCTGGAAATATTTCAATCATTTTTAAACGTTTAGAACCTATCCCTTTATTGCTTCTTTCAAAATGTTGCACTCTCACTGAAATTAATAGTACTTATGTAAAAATGTGAATCATGTACCTGCCATCCAACTGCAATTTTAGAAATTTCGCGTCCAGAGAGGCCAGTCGTTCTTTTAGCGATCTCTGCACATTTTACAGCATAATCTATGTTTTCAGCTAGGCGAATACGGTGACTTTTGGTTAACGAAGGTTGAAGAAGGAAACGATCGAAATAATGCCTGACCAATCGTTCACGCTCTTCCAAACCAGGTAGTGTGAACTGAACAATTTCATCCATACGATCATTAATTGCCCAATCAAACTGTTCAGGTTGATTACTGGCTAAAACTAACATAAATCTATAAGAGGAAATATTTACGCTTAATAGATTGATAAAAATTGTCTAGGGTTCAAGAATTATATGGAATAATGAACAAAAACTAGGTTGAATGACGAACACTATTGTATTGACTCTAAACTTTGTAAAGTTTATTTTTAGTAAAAATGGTCAAAGGTCTGAATGTCATACCTGACCAACACAACTTCCAATTATACCAACGGATTTATAGTGAATAGATACTGTAAGAAGCGTAGCATTTTTTTCAAATCGCTTTAACTTTTATGAATAATCCTGAAACATAACAAATATTGTGAACATACATACCAAACGACTACAATTCATAATACGGTAGTATGTAGTATGTGAACTTTCTATCCCACGGAACAGTTTGATTTGTATCAACGAATACAAATCATTGTTTGTTTTCAAACACTTATAGAGCGCCAGCAATTTTTAATGAAATTCATAATCTAAAGCTACGTATATGTGAGTGTTTTATAAGTGGTTAAAGTCCAAAGACTTGCGAGCTAATTTTCAAAATAAAAAGATTCCATACCTGACCCAATCAGTGTGTATATTTCCTACATTTCTGTAATGTCAACAATTGTAGAGTTAACTGCTTCTATTAAATCGTGAAGTCTTAATGTTGTTCAGTAAACCAAAAGTGCTAATTACATATAAGCAATATTTTAATTGAATAAGTAGTTGTAGATATCTACATCTGACTGTAAACGGACCAACTACAACTTTTATTAATCTGGATCATTACGTGTGGGTCCTTTTAAGTAGATAGAATAGTTGGGGTAACCCGCTAAAAAATTCTGCTAAATTTTCGTTCAAATGTTGGAATTTAACCGTTGGTCCATATAGTACTAGCATTTGATTAAATTGTTTATTTCAATGAAGCCGTTCAGGTGTTGCACTCAGTTACAACTTAGAGGATTTCATCGATATAATAATGTAGAATTTATTTTATCCCTAACTTATTCAGGTTTCTCACACAGCTACTAAAAAAGGCTTTTTCATTTTCTGCGTAGTGTGCAACGTTTTTCGAGTTCACTGTATATAAAAAGAAGTAAATTCATCAACAAAACTATTTACACTGTATACAGACAAAAATTCCTCGATTTTCGTGTACATTTGTGATGTGTGCTACCGATGTCGACAGATATAAGTAGTATATATCATCAATCGAAAGTGAAATGCCTGGAGGCAGAAGGTTAAGAAGATCGAAGAAAAGAGAACAGAGAGTGGTTGCTGTGGAAACGAAGGAACAATGAGGTCTGAGACGACTGATTGACATTTTTCAAATGAAGTATTTACTGTAGAGTTCTCATATTTTACTAAGACGTTTTGTAATTTTGTGTTCAAATACATTTGGTTGTCCCGCATTTGTGTTCGCGTTCACTACACATTTACAAAGCTAAGCTTATATAAAATGAGTGGTTATCACACCTGCAAGTGAAATCACACCATTGAACAATAAAAGTTCCTAATTTATGAGATTTAGACAGTTTTCCAACGCATTAAATAGATTTCCTTACATTCTACACAAAAAAATGAAAATTCAAGCGTGCAAACCTTTTGTACGTATTTAAACAAGTACTGAGTCAGTTTTTTCGTTTGCACAGATAAGTCAATGTTTGCCTAATAATACGGGAGTAGATAGGAAAACTGAAATAATTATCATTACATCGTTTCCAAACAGGTATTATTAAATATGATGCCTGTTTGGTTCCAATGTCAAAGTATATAAAGCTATTCTGTTGAACAAATAATAAATGGTGGATGTTTTTCTGTCTATCATGTGCAATACATCAGTTCAGAAACGGGAATTCTACATTATGAAAGTCGAAAAGAATTCACGTTTTTAAGACGCTTTGTTAGTTGATGAGTAAGTTACAGTGATTGTGTTTGATACAATCAACCAATCAAACATCGGGCAAAGAATGGCCTGCAATACTAAAGAATGAGAGACACACCACTAGTGGATTAATTTTCTGAGAGACGTATATATATATATATATATATATATATATATATATATATATATATATATATATGTTCTGACCTGATTGTTTTCCAAAGATTGTTGGTCTGGAGACTGTAGTTTACAAGTAAAACGTAACTTACTTGATGACATATAGCTGAGGAAAACTGACAAACTTAATTATCTACTATCATTTGCAGGGCACGATGCTATTAAATAATCAAAATTGGTCGGTGGGACGAGATTAGTACTGGGGACTGGACATGACGTTAATATTAAGGCTTAGCGGTCGATTATTGTGAATATCTCAACGTTAGAGGAAATTGGTAGTTAAATATAAACACTGTCTTATTTGACAGATAATTCCCATTTAAACATTAAAAACACGAAGTTCAGCGAAGGGATCTCTTTTCGACGAATTTATTATCAAGCTGTACAATTGTATATATATGAAAATTTTTGTTAATGTACTAGTTTCGTGAGGAAATATGGACAAAGAATAATCAAGATGATGTAATAGAAAGATTATAATACTAGACCACGTAATACGAATAATAACGATAGACTTAATAAGTTAGTAACGAATTATAGCGTGAATGTAGTAAGACGATTAAAGTGTTTTTGTTACAATCTTATTCACTCTTTGTGTTACCGAATACACTGGATATGTAGTACAGAAAGCATTGACGAAGAACTTAAATTCCTCAGGAAAACTGATGAAAAATGGCTATCCAAACTGCTTCATAGATAAGAATATGAAAAGAAGTAGTTGTAACAAGGAATCCGGTTGTTCCGTTCCAACAAAAAATCTTTATATAAATTTGGAATTTAAAAGTGATCGAACATCTGGTGTAATCGAAAATTGTTTGACGACAGAGATAAACAGAACATTCTATGCGGCAAAAATGAAAATAACGTTCACTAGTAGGAACTTGTTTTATGTATGCGTAAAAGCTTCCCCGTCTGGTGGCCTCCATGTGCATCTATCGGTTTACCTGCTTTTGTGGAGCAAGGTACATTTGCCGTAGCCAGTGCTCGCTTTCAACTTGGATACGGGGACATGTCCCAGTGTGGTTCTACAACGGTGAGATGAAAGCAGTTAGGAGTTCCATACTTGAACATCTAATCTATTGTAACCATTCTACTGATCGACAGTTTGATTTTAAGGTTGTATATACGATTCCTTCAAATCTACCAAGATTTCTTAGTATCCAACTCCTAAAAATAGTCAATACTCTTACCATCCCTGAGCTGAAGCCAGAGATATGCGTACAAAAGAAGTACATCCTATCGTTATCGTTAACTTAATAATAATTATTATTACTGCATTTCTCTCCTTACTTATGTTTTATATTCTCGTTATTTTATTCATAAGTGCTCGTGATATTACTTTATTTATTTTTAACACCTCTATGACCTTGAATTATTGTAACAAAAACACTCTGATCGTCTTACTACATTCACGCCATAATTCGTTACTAACTTATTAAGTCTATCGTTATTATTCGTATTACGTGGTCTAGTATTATAATCTTTCTATTACATCATCTTGATTATTCTTTGTCCATATTTCCTCACGAAACTAGTACATTACCAAAAATTTTCATATATATACAATTGTACAGCTTGATAATAAATTCGTCGAAAAGAGATCCCTTCGCTGAACTTCGTGTTTTACTGTCTTACTTAACCAAGAGTTCTAGAAATTGTGGAAAATTTGTAAAGATTTTTAACTAACTTCTTAGACTGTTCTCCAGTTCTGTACAAAAATGCATTTAAAGTTGCTCGGACACCTTCACTTATTCGTTCTTGGTCTCTTTTACGAAGAAATGCATCAGCCTCATCCACAAACAGTAAAACTCTAAAAGAAATAAAAAAGTATTGGAGTCAAAATTAAATATTAAAGACTTGAAGTAATAGGCAGCCAGATTCTATAAATGATATTATGCAATCATCATTTTTTAAACAATAGAATTATTTCCAACTTTAAATTCACGCTCATTTCATTTGATTGGGATTATTAAGATAAAAAATAATCTAATGTTTCTGATGTCCTAGGATCCAACCATTAATTATGACCGGGAAACGAAAGCGAACATGTATACGAGTCAAATATTTACTCTTTCCTTTATCTTATTTACTTATCTGTGTTAACCCCTTCATAAAAAAACGATAACCAACTGATTGAGGTCTGGTAACAATCTTATGGGAATACATATTAACAACATGCCTTTCTTAACAGCAATGTGGAAGGATATATCTAGTTGCATAATATCTTACTAAGGACCATTACTTGACTTTGATGGGGTAAGCTATTTGTTTATACACCTTTAATTTAAATTTGTAATTTATATCAAACCCATGTATTCAGTCCACTTGATTGGAAATTTGAATTACACAAAACTATTGACTATGCAAAATTAACTTAACTAATTATAACAACTCACACTGTGCAGTTCTCACCTATTTATCCTTTAGAAGCGAAGCTTTAACAGAGATTCAAAATTATGATATATCATTTGAACTGGTGCTTTATTTCACCACTTAGTAGTAAGATAAGTAACTAGAATTAATGCATTTCACCACTTAACTCTTTGTTGCCATAATGGCGTTGGGTGTATTTGTACAAAAAAACCATCATTACATACCCTTTACGACTAGTTTTGGCCCATTCAAAAACTTTGTGGACTGCAGTAACTCCTTCACTGCCCATAGGTGCAATATCTCCACCAGTTAAAATCGCGTAATCCATACCCGAATGCATAGCCAAACTCTACCAATTGAAATAGAGAATGAAGCAACATATTGTCTGAATTTTTTTTATCCAGTTACCGACGAGTGTTTAGAAAATAACCAAACAATATAAGACCGAAGTATTGACAATCTTAAAAGCTAAGAGAAGGTCCACAAAGAAATATTTTGCTGAGCGTCAACTTCAGTAAAAAAACCTACTAATATAATATGCCAGGATTGGAGATCTCCAAAAATTGTTGAAAATTTGGTGCTTAATAAACATACAAAATAAAAATAATGAAACTACATTCACCATGAAAACTAAAAGTAACATGGAGAGTTTGGATACAAACATATCCAAGATAACTTGATGTATATTAACCAAATAAGAATATTTAAATCAAATTTCGTTCCCTAACCTAATTTTATTTGCTCATAAAGTTGATAACTTTTAAAAAATGTCAACGATAAGATATTTAAGTATATAGATGTATTTCAAATACATGGTTTCCAGTGTATAATGAAATAAAAGACATGAACACGCTTTAATTAGTATTTTTAACTATGCAGCTTGCTGAATAAACAATTCTCCGTCTACTTATATCTACAATATTATCTTTTCACGGATGCACAAGTATTGACTATCACCAGGACTTCTACTAAAAGTAAGACAGTTTCCATTTCCTATAAATTGACCCGAAACAAGTGGTAAAATGAACGGTCTAGTAGTTGTATTAATAAAGATATGATTCATAACTAAATGTTCCTTATTTTATTTGCTTATATGAACAAACAAACATTAGTACAAAGAGTCACCAAACATATGTGCGCCACACAATAAATATGAGGTTATGAAGAGATAGATAATAGAAACAGTATAATGACAAAGAAGGGCAGTAATGAACAGAAGCAGATAAACTAGGAAAAATACAACCAGAAAGAATCCTCTCAGTTAAGGCTGCGTTTATTTTTATAGACATTAAAAAAGTTACAGCGGGATCGCCATTGACTTTTCTCAGCTACTTCCGATGTTTCAAGCTGCTGTGTCGCGTCATTTCTAGGAGCTCAACCGGAAAGTTGTGAAGGACCGACAGTCTCGTACAGCTTTCTTCCACACCACGACACCATGTCGTGCACTCACCACCTCTTCCAACCAGTCCCAGTGCGTCAAATAACACACGGTGTGGAGTTTACTGAGATGACATCTGTAGGATATGCCCAAGCCACCGAGACCGATGTTTCAAGATGGCGACACTAATTGAATTATCGTCACTGTGCTCAATCACACGTTGTCGAACCTCTGCATTACTAACATGGTGTCGTCACTGGATGTCAACAATCCTTTGGAGACAATAGTGATCAAACACGGAGAGTCATCTAACATCCTCAACTCGGAGGCCAGTATTCGCAAGAGCAGAGCAAAACTACCTCACCGACGCGCTTGTACATTCGACCTTTTACAGCCAGACCAACATCACGAAGGCACCAAAGATGGCCCAAATCGGCATAAGCCGCTATGGCTTTCACTATACGTGAATTGATTTCATCACTCATACCACTATGCACACTTACACGGCTACCCAGATAAGCGAACTCCCCGACTACTACTCAAAGTGAGAGCAGGCACAGGGTCCTGCTAGTCTTGTAAAAGTGCTCTACACTTAGGTGGAAAGCACATCCCATACCTACGGACACTGTTCACCAACTGATCAACTACGTCAAGTATGAATTTATTCCATGAATAGTCTTAATGCTCATACTTCATATTATTTGATTTCATTGGTTCGTTCGGGGTAAAGTTATATTTAGTTCCTTAACATCGATTTCTTTGGTTCCACTTTTCAAATTCCTCTAATCGATTTATTGTTGTAACTCAATAACTTGCCTCTAAAAGTTTTTGTTCTAGGTCCTACCTTGATTATGATCAACTTTGTGAATGAACAGAATACGATAAACTAAGACTTACCTTTGCAAACATAGTTTTTCCAGTACCAGGAGGACCTGCCATTAGGATATTTCGATAGAAGCCTCTATTTGCTTTGGTATGTCTGGTTGCAATTGCAATTTTTCTCAAAGATGCTTCCAACTCAGGCTATGAAAAGTGTAAATCCACAGAAGACAGGATTTTGAGAAAGGCAATTGTAAGAGCGCTGTCTAAGAAGCAAGCGAATCAAAAAGTCTAATCGAAAAAGCTAAAGAGAGAAGTCACATATTCACAACAAACATAACGCTCTTACATCAAAGCAACATTAAGGTCTACTCAATATCGACATTACAAGCAGATAAAAACCGACATATGATAAAGTAATCCCCTTGAAGCTTTTGCTCTATACGTCATAATCATAACAAAATCTTTATTCTGACTACAAGCGGAAGTTGATTTAATAGTTGAGGGGCCAATTGATTATTCGAATATGGAGATGCTTTAAGATCTACAGAACTTGATCCAGAATTTAATTCCATAATTTTATGTATTTTTGACTATGCAATGCGTGGAATAAACTCGTTTGTTGGCACTGGCTAAAACATATTAAACTAGTAGCAATGCAAAACAATACACGAATGTAACATGAACAAGCTGTAAAACTGACATTTGAAGTAGATTAAAATTTATACACAGACCAGGTATACCTAGTAATCTTATTACTCGCTACATTAGTTTTTAATTCGGTAGGTAAAAAATTAACTAAGCATCTTATGGTCAGATAATTGCAAAGACGATATGAGCAAAGTGAGTTTTGACACGAGCAAATCAAGTCGCGAATTCATTATTTATTCAGAGCCCAAAATAATTGTCAAGAAATAGGATAGTTATCAAGATAAAGCTAGCATCTATTTATCCTAACACGCATTACTACATAGAAACACTTTTATCCACCACAAAGCTATCAAAAACTATGATCGCAACTCAACTGCAAAAAAGGCTTCAGATTGTACTAGTAATTTGAATTTAACCGATCACATGGCTTATGAACGAGTTTAGCGCTCTGAATCTTAGCTACACCACTAATGACTTATTATGAGGCACTAAAGAGTGAAATATGTACCACATCAATGGATGACACATAACTCACGAATTCAACCCAAACAGGACAAAAATTTAAACTTACTCGCAAAATTATACCTTCTAGAGGATCCGTAGGACGCTGAAAGACCGTTTTGGCTGTCTAAAATTGAATGTACTAATATAAAAATTCAAACCTTGATAGGGTGACGACAAGTATCTACTATATTTAGTCGGGAAGTCTCACGCACAAGTGCCGGTTTACCTATACGGGATTCTACAACTTTAGTAAATGTTCCGATCCCATATTTAGCCCCATATACGCCGCCAGCTAATAACGTTAGTGAACCAATGACGGTGGCCATCTTGTCAGGTTCTGACAGGAAATTGCTGATACCATTACCAATGACAGAGCCAGCAGTTGTTATGGATTCCAAGACCGTTTGACGATACTCTCGGGCGTCAACACGTGCACGTTCTAGGCGCAGGTCACGATTTTGTCGTTCAACTTCAGCTTCACCTCTAATCTTTGCTTCAATTTGTTTCATTTCATTCTTGTGGCGAAGATCCGATTCAAATTCAATTGTTGCTGTGCACAGAAACAATTAATAAACATGCTTATTAATTATTATTAAAATCATGACTACCTCTTCTCATTGCTTCTTGTTTCTGAACAGATTCCTCCTGTTTTTTCAGATTGTCTGCCTGGGCTTTGGCCTATCTTTTAGTAAAACTATTCAAAAAACAAACCTGTAAGGCTATTTGATCTTCCTGACGTTTACGAGCCAGCATATCTTGATAATCGGCGCGCTGCTTTTGTATTCTCGCCTCCTCCTCTAGCGTTTTCCTGCGTTCTTCCTGCTGAGCTCTATATTGCTGTATTTTAATCTGTTCTAATCCAAGCTCATACTCCTAGGTAAACAATGTGAATGACACATTTCTTGAAAACGTATATATTTATACCTTCATTTTTGATTGATATTCCATCTGTAAAGTTTGTTCATGTTTTTGAGATAGATCAAATGCTTCCTTCGCATGTTCTGAAACACTATGAATCGAACATTTAATACATACTAGATGATTCAAGTTCTTTAGCTGCCTTTGCAGCTCTTTCAAGTGCAGCTGAATCAAATCGGTAAGCAGAAGCCGTATCTTTAGACTGCTTTTTATCCTGTAAACTTGCAGGTGGGCTTGGTGGTGGCGGGACGTCACCAGGAATGTCGAAGTCTTTTGATGTTTGTTTGCCAAAGCCAAACAACCAAGACATCTCAACCAACCACGTTGTAACGCTCCTGACCAAAATATCCTCCCTTAAGGTCAGCACATGAGATTCTCTACAAGACAGAAGAGGCTAGAAAATGTATCAGAAATTTCAAGATTTTCGATATTGCTTTTCCAGTCCCAAATCCGGTTACTTTACAGCTTGGTGAGCAAAATGAATCACCCGGCATTATGAATTTCAGTTAGTTTTACAGTTTTATGTGTGTAGCAGTACGTAAATCCTCGAGATAACTAGCTCTGTAGATTTTTGACATAAATGCTAGCGTTTTTAGTTTCGCTTGACAGCAATAGCTGAAGACATTCAGTCGAGCATCCTTACTCTGTCACTTATAGATAGATTGTCGTGTTCACATCTACAACAGCTATTTGGCTCAGATTTTATACATTGCAATACCCTGACCTGTAATTTAACCATACTGCTCTATCACATCATCCTCTACTTCTGATTCGGTTGGGATCATTATGTGAAGAGGAATTACTTAAAACCCGAGTATCAGTGACCGCTTCTTGTGGATCTCAAGTTCTGTTTACAGTTCTGGGTGGAGGGAGAGGATAGATACACAAATCACTCATAAAAATGACACGGGTCACCGTAAATAAAACTTTTTTAAAGTGGTAAATCACATGCCTCAGTTTGTACTGACTATGTTTATTTCGTGCCAGGCGCAGTCACTACCCTAACTACACAAAATATACTATGGTACATTTCCTTACAACAAATAACGTAGGGTAAAAGCCCTTTTTTCTTTTACTAGAGATTACAAAAGTTTCTCTACTAACTCTTCTACTTATGCATCGAAAGAATACACTTGGTCATGACCGGTAGTATTGGAATATGAGTGGGGGCGTTCCAAAGTTTATTATTCTGCCACAGTAAACAAACTTTACAATTGATCAGTGGCGGTTAAATTCGCTGCTCCTTAAGACTACCGACGATGTGTAAAGTTTATTCACGTAATTGAAGAGTAGTTCCAAAGGATTCTACTGGTCTCTAAATATGACTGCAGAGCCGATTTTACGCGCGCGCTTTACGAACGTGATTTGCGTTTCTTAAACTTCTGCCATGTTCTAACGCAGAAGTACCATTCCTGATCTAAAGAATCTGTTATGAGATTACTTCTCTTTTTGAGTTTCGCCCAACTTAATAGTTAACTGTAGTTTTGCCTCAGCTTATTTCTGTTTTTCAGTTCTTCATCACATCAAGGCTAGATTCAGTTTATCCTAACCTTTTGTACGACCCATTTTAGTGTATTGTTTCTTACAGTCTTAGGCTTTCGCTAGGATCTATAAAACAATTTACGTCACTATAGTCATGAAAATTTCATGCAAACAACACGAATGCCGCTTTTCTGTTACATCTGGCTGGTTACATAAAGTGCGCACAGATGTCAAAGTAACTGCTTATGACAGACTCAGTAAGTCGGATCATAAGTGGGTATGTTTCATGTGCAACACGAATACTGAATTTTGGCTGAGTAACACCACTGTCCTATTGACAGGTCTGTGGAATAAGTTGTCAACAAACTTGAAAAAAGACAGTCATAATATGAGTAGACAAACGAGGACACACAACGAAAACGAGAAGAAGGATGTCGACAGCGCTACTATCGACTGAGCATGTAATAACAACAGTGATGACATGCTGAAACTTAGCACCATCATAAGATTGACGGCAATAGGCTCCCTCTGTAGACTTGGGTCTCCCAGCACAGGATCCCTGAACGCAGCGGTGGTTCTCAAGAACTCTGTAGGTGATTGAAGCCCCGTTAACAAAGTTATGGAGGACCTGACTTCACCGTCTAAAAAGCTGAACATCCCAAGTATTGTGGGGAAATTAACTGGTGGTTTAGCCTCACAGTCTGCCCTCAAGTATGTCCGTCCGATCATTAAAGAACCAAGGAATCGGAAACGCTTTTCAACCACCAAACAACAAGGTGCGCAACTGGAACATACCTGAAAACCTGGGAAAACAATCACGGTTCGCAATAATTCTCTCATATTCGTGAACCTCAAAAATAACTCTGACCTTCCCCTCAGTTTGATGGAACTAGAAAAGAAGGCCCAGGACAGAGTGGGTTGGAGAATGCTGGTCAGCGGCCTATGCTCCATTGGGAGTAACAGGCGTAAGTAAGTAAGTAAGTAAGTCCCCTCAGTTTGCAGGACAAAAATGACAGGATGTTTTGGGAAAAGTTGAACAAGAAGCTTGAGCTTTCCAGAAGAGAGCCTTTGAGAGTCACACGGATCACTCAAAGAAGGGACTCTAAGCATCAAAATCAACTAAGGCTACTTAAGAACGCTAACGACGTAGAGGGTATCCTACTATCTAACCACTTACTGAAATCAGATGGGAATGTAAGAACACTGCCTGACATACCGTATTCTGAGCGCAATCTAAGGCGGAACATCTCTAGGAAATCTCTAGAGTTTTTCCGGGGAAGAAATTTCATTGTACAAGGTGTATCGAGAAACACGGACCCTGATCACACAATCTCTGATATTAGGGAATGGAAACTCATCAAGCAATCCTCGAAGCTCAAAAATATACTGACACAACAAGTGATGAGACTAGCCTAGAAAGACGGAGATTCTAGACCCCGGATAATAAAGATAACTTTCTCATCCTCCCATATGGTGGCTGCAAATCTGGAAGCATTTCGTGCCAGCAGACTTCGGTTGCTAACTGGAATCCATATGAATCCGCATAAACAACATGACGCCAGGATCAAGCACATGGGCAAGGTGAGGCTGTCCATTCCACTTGTGGACTGCCTTGATCATAAAAGACATGTAAGGGACGGGGCCTGTCAACTCGGCGAACCTTATGTTGGTGGGCCACCTGTCCATTCACGTAAGACTCATACAGACAAACTGGAAGGGGAAGCTCATGCGTTGTAAATTGGAGGCGTAAACTGCTCATACATGAACGTCGCGAGTTTACCGAATAAAATGGATGAGCTATGTGAACTCAACTCCGCCTGTAGCCCTTATAGGGTTACTGCCGGTCCCAAGCCCGGGTAAAGGAGGAGGGTTGGGCATGGGGTTAGCGTCCCCATCCCGTAGAAAACTAACTCGCTAAAAAAACGCTTACCAGAAAAAATAATCCAAACCATTTAAACTCTGCCCTGGGAGTTAGAAGGTCTTCAGTTAGAAGAATTATGACGCTTCATGGTGAAAGCCGAGTTCCTTCGGAAGCCACGAGGCCGATGCCCCTTCTAACAACCAGAGCAAAAATTTTTATAGGTACATGGAACGTTCGAACAATGTGGGAAACCGGGAAGACCAGTCAAATAGCAATGGAAATGAGGAGATACAACTTAGCAGTACTGGGAATCAGCGAAACCCACTGGACCCAAGCTGGACAGAAAAGGCTAGCTACGGGAGAGATGCTGCTATACTCCGGTCACGAGGAGGACAATGCTCCACACACTCAGGGAGTCGCTCTTATGCTGTCCAAAGTAGCACGAAATGCACTTGTAGGATGGGAGTCTCACGGATCCAGAATCATCAAAGCATCATTCAAAACAAAGAAGGAGGGGATCTTAATGAATATTATCCAATGTTATGCACCCACCAATGATAGCAACGACGACATTAAAGATCAGTTCTACGAGCGGCTGCAGTCAATCATTGAGAAATGCCAAGAAAGGACCTAACTATTCTGATGGGAGATCTAAATGCCAAAGTCGGAATAGACAACACTGGATATGAAGATATTATGGGACGACATGGACTGGGAGAGAGAAACGAAAATGGAGAAAGATTTGCAAATCTATGTGCATTCAACAAATTGGTCATAGGAGGCACAATATTTCCACACAAGCGTATACACAAGGCTACATGGATCTCACCGGACCACACTACAGAGAACCAAATAGATCATATTTGCATCAACAAAAAATTCCGAAGGACAATGGAAGATGTGAGAACCAGGAGAGGTGCTGACGTAGCTTCAGATCACCACCTAGTTGTAGCCAATTTAAAACTGAAGCTAAAAAGAACTGGACAAGTGGACAAACAGCACTACAAAGGTTCAATACAGCCTTCCTTCGAGATACTGACAAACTCAATGAATTCAAGATAGCTCTCAACAACAGGTTCCAAGCCTTACAAGATCTACTGAAAGAAGAAGAAACTAGTATGGAGGACAACTGGAAAGGCATCAAGGAAGCATTAACTTCAACGTGTCAAGAGGTTCTGGGCCTAAAGAAACACCATCATAAGGAATGGATCTCTATAGAAACACTGGACAAGATCAAAGAAAGGAAGAACAAGAAGGCAGCAATTAACAACAGCCGAACACGAGCAGAGAAAGTCAAGCACAAGCTGAATACATAGAAGCAAACAAACAAGTGAAGAGGAGCATTAGAGCCGACAAGAAGAAATACGTGGAAGAACTAGCAACGACGGCAGAAAAAGCTGCTAGAGAAGGAAATATGAAACAGCTTTACGATACAACGAAGAAACTAGCAGGGAAATACAGTAAACCAGAGAGGCCGGTCAAAGACAAAGAAGGCAAGCCAATCACCGAAATTCAACAACAGCGTAACAGATGGGTGGAATACTTCGAGGAACTCCTGAATAGGCCGGCTCCAATGAATCCACCGGACATCGAAGCAGCACACATAGATCTTCCTATAGATGTCAACCCACCAACGACGGAAGAAATTAGAATGGCCGTCAGACAAATCAAGAACGGGAAAGCAGCAGGACCCGACAACATACCAGCTGAAGCACTGAAATCAGACATCGAAGCAACCACAAGCATGCTTACCTTCTATTCAAAAAGATTTGGGAGGAGGAACAAGTGCCGATGGACTGGAAAGAAGGACACCTCGTCAAGATTCCAAAGAAAGGAGATCTGAGCAAATGTGAAAACTACAGAGGCATTACACTACTGTCAATACCAGGGAAAGTCTTCAACAGAGTGTTGCTGAACCGGATGAAGGATGCAGTAGACGCCCAACTTCGAGATCAACAAGCTGGATTCCGTAAGGATCGGTCGTGCACAGACCAAATTGCAACACTACGGATCATCGTCGAACAATCAGTTGAGTGGAACTCATCACTATACATCAACTTCATTGATTATGAAAAGGCATTCGACAGTGTAGATAGGAGGACATTATGGAAACTTCTTCGACACTACGGAGTTCCTGAGAAGATTGTCAACATTA